GATTGAGGAGTTCAGTACATCTTGTGTATAGTCATTCCTTTCTTCAGCTCTTTGTATTGCTTCAAGAACTCTCTGAAGGGCTGGTTTTGTGGACATGAATTCTTTTAGCTTATTTGTGTCATGGAAGATTTTTCATTCCCCTTCGACTAAAATAGACATTTTAGTTGGGTAAAGTAATCTGGGTTGGCATCTGTGGTCATTTAGAACTGGGAATATTTTGGTCCAGGCTCTTCTTGGCTTTCATAGTTTATGCTGAAAAGTCAGCTATAGTCCTAATGGGTTTTCCTGTATATGTGACTTGTTTTTCTTTTTCAGCTTTCACTATTGTCTCTTGTTCTGTACATTTAGTGTTTTTACTATAATATGCTGGAGAGTTTCTTTTCTGGTCCTGTCTATTTGGTTTTCTATATGCTTCTTATATTTGTATGGGCATGTCTTTCTTTAATTTGGGGAAATTTTCTTCTACAATTCTGTTGAAGATCTGGTCCATACCATTATCTTGAGATTCTTCTCCTTTCTGTATGCCTATGATTCAAAGTTTGGTCTTTTTCTGGTGTCACATAATTCTTGCATGTTCCATCCTTGTGTTTTCTTAAATTTTTCATAATCTTTGTTTGAGTGGTCTAATTCATCCACGTTATCTTCCAGTCTTGATATTCTGTTTTCCATTTCATTAATCCTATTGTTGAGGCTTTCTCCTGTCATTTCTAATTGGCTTACTGAGCGTTTCACTTCCTTCTTCATATCAGCTTGAGTATTCTTCAATATTTCTAACTCTTTTCTGAATTCATCCAGAAGTTTATCCCTATCTTCCTTCAGTTCTTTGATTTGTTTGTGTGTTCTTTTTTAAATTATTTATTTAATAACCATATAGTTAGAAGAAGCATTTCATTACAACAGCACTTACTTATTCAATAACAATTTCCAGAGCTACGATGCATCTCTTTCAAAATTGGCTGTAAAATTTTAGGTTTACAGTTGAATTAATACAGTTATACAATATTGTACTCCATATAAACCCTATAAGACATAAAATTAAATGAGGTTTTAAACTTTGAAAAAGATCTGCATTTCATTATTAAAATATACAGTTTCGTATGGAAAAATTCATTTTTAATATAATTGACACTAAGATGCATATGCATTTCTAATCTCTATATATCTGATTATTACTAGTCACAGTCAGTTAATTTCTGAGCTCCTTGGCATCTGAGCATGGATATGAAGTCATCAGGTAGATTTCAATGGTAATGTTTTTCACATCTACTAATTATTAAGGAGCAAATTTTTATGCTCATGCTATTGCAGAGACACTTGTACATCCATGTTTGTTGCTCCTCTTTTCACAATAGCTAAGAGATGGAACCCATCTAAGTGTCCCTCAATTGATGAGTGGTTAATGAAAACATGGTTCATTTATACGATAGAGTTTTATTCAGCAGTAAAGAAAATGAGATCATTAAATTTGCAGGTAAATGGATGGAACTAGAAACTGTTATACTAAGTAACACAGACT